ACTTTTTAGAGGTGCGATTGTAGCCACCAGAAAAAAGTAATTTAAAAGGTGTTGGCTGAGACTCGTTCTTCTGGGAAACAGATGTACACCTCCGACTTTTTCTATCATTGTCTTACACATGTAGGCACACACTTATGTATCAAAATGCTAACCAAATAGTATGCACATCTAGCTAAGGGAAGAGCGGGGGATTACCACCCCAGAGGAGTGTCACGTTTGACAACAACCTGTCCCTTGGGGAATCTCTGAATGGAGAAGTGACCTTTGGACTGTATCCCCACTGCAAACACACATATGCCTTCACAATCACGTGTCAGAGTGTAGGCAGCAGGAGGCAAGGACACCTGTATTATGTAAATATTCTATGTTAGCATGTCAACACAGAAGTGAAGGTTCTACATGGGTCAGTCATCATATACCTGTCATCCTCCGTTCCACCACTACTTAAACAGCCCTGCACAGAAGCCCATGGGGAAGGGCCCAGGAAGCTGCACTGACATATTCATTGTGTAGGGATGGCCAGTAAATGAAGCCCAGACTGGCAGTCTATGCAGTGCTGGGGAGTAACCTGGACAGTTACTTTTCCATCACTGTGATAAAAATGTTCAACCTGAACAACGGAATGATGATTTTGGGCTCAGAGATTTCATTAGTGGTTGATAGATTCCACTTATCCAGGCCCATGGCAAGGCAGATGCCATGGTGAAAGCAGAATAGAGTAGAATTTCTGGCACTCAGTTCACAGATGCCAGCAAACAGAGGGCAGGCTGTTTGGGGACAAGATAGACCTTCAGAAATCCCAACCCAGTGGCCATCTCCACTACCTTCCGATGGTCGACCCAGTCACGAGTCCCGACAGAGATCAACCCATCATTTGAGACAGAGGTGCTCACGTCTACTCATTTCTCAGCGGTACCACCCAGCCCTTTAACACATGAAACTCCAAGTAATAGTCCAAATGTAACCCATAACTGATGTGGGAGTGTCATATATCAATCTGTTGATTTCATTGGTTAAGTTATAATAAACCAACTGCTTGGCCTCAGCTTAGAACATAGATGGGAGGAGTAAACAGAATAGAATTCTGGGTGGAAGAGGAAGTGAGGTCAGACTCTGCTCTGCTCCCGGAGAGACCCGACAGCTCTGCTGGAGCAGAGACACCATGCTCAGCTCTCCCAGGCAGATGCACGCAATGAAGCTCCTCCAATCCCAGATGGATGTAGGCTAGAATCTTCCCGGTAAGCGCACCTTGGGGTGCTTACACACATCATTAGAAATGGGCTAGTCCAGGTGCGAGAATTAGCCTGTAAGGGTTAGAGTTCATGGGCCAAGCAGTTCTTAAATGAATACAGTTTGTGTGTTGTTATTTCAGACATGAACTAGCCAAGCGGCTGGGGTGTTGGGGACGCAGCCCCGCCGCTCCTAATTCAACAGATGGCGCCCAACGTATATGGCATTTAAATGTTTTAATAACTTAGGGCTTTTCATGACAATGAGACACATCTGCTCCTGGCAGCACCAGCTACTTCAAGAGGAAGATGGGCATCGAAGAGGATCCTGATGGAGTTGGTTAGCCATTTGGGCAAGAAACTGCTCTTGCCTGGACTGATGCATAAACTGGACACAGAGAACCCGCAGAGAGAGGACTGCTGAACTTGCCTAAAGGTGAGATGATCTTTCGGGGTTCCTGATTCATGAAAGAGTCTGCAAGACATTCTTCAGGACAAGCAGATAGTGACTGCCTTTGAAATTTCCTGCTTTGTGGAAATGTCTGCTGGAAACTATGGGCCTGTAGGCCGAAGATGGATGCCCCAACGGTACAGAGGAACTTTGGGTGACTGTCCAGGCAGCGAGATGTCTCTGTCATTTCTAGAGTTTTCTTATTTCTTGTTTACTTAGGTATTATTATATCCTTCTGGAGTCTTTGATGGAGTTGAAGAATGAATAGTTATAGTTTTCCTTAGTTATGGTAAGAGATAAAATAGATATAAATATTGTAACTGTAATTCTTACTTGATAACTGTTTTTGCTCTATGTAATTTTACTATGTTAAAATAAAAGCCTTTCTTTTTTGTTTAAACAGAAAAAGGGGAAATGATGTGGGAGTGATTTCTTATTAATAAAGAAACTGCCTAAGCCTCTTGATAGGCCAACCCTTAGGTGGGTGGAGAAAACAGAAGAGAATTCTGGGAGAAAGAAGGTTAGTGGGAGAGTCGCCATGATTCTCCCGCTCTAGACAGACGCAGGTTAAGATCCTCCCTGGTAAGCCAGCTCGTGGGCTACACAGAATATTAGAAATGGGTTAGAACAATATGTAAGAGCTAGCCAATAAGAAGCTGAAACTAGCCGGGCCAGACAGTGTTTAAAAGAATACAGTTTTTGTGTAATTATTTCGGGCATAAGCTAGCCATGTGGGTGGCCGGGTGCCGGGGATGCAGCCTCTCCGCTCCTAATTCAACACATAACTACTGGTATCCAGAGTTAATGGAAGCTAATAGAATCCCTTTCCAACTTCAGACATTTGGCTGGGAACCAACAAGGTCGGACTTGCTGGGCAAAACTCCACAAGCTGCAGCTCGCAGGTCTCTGGTGTCACTCAAGTCCCCAGCTCTCGTCACCTGGTCTTGGTTCTTGAGAATTCTGTCACTTCTTTAGAACACGGGTTCCCTCTCAGCGGCTACTCCTTTCACTTGAGTGAGCTTGGAAAAGGCTTTATTGCAACCCAAGTGACAGTATGCCAAAAAAAGCCCGAGAAAGCACAGCATTCGGAAGGGACCAGAGGGCTGATGGTGGCGACCGGTAGCAGGTGGAAGGCGGCTGGTGTGCTTCGTGTGTAACAACAGCTGGCACCAAAGGGGCTGGGTACTGACACTGAGGCCTCTTTTTTTCCCCAAGCTAAATTGCTTAATGATTTTATACATTTAAAAGTACCATTGGAGATCTTTAGATAGTTCTCAAAGTCTCTTCTCTATTTAGGTGGTATGAAAAGGAAGAACGAGAACTTCTCAGTTGTCTTTAAGGACAGTGTCTTTGTCTTTCAGAACCAGGCAAAGGACTCCACATGATTCAGATTTTCAAAATGAGAATCAAGAAAATGTTTAGAAGTCATCGAATGGATGTTCCTTGTTGCATTTCCCTCCTGGAGAGCCCTTGTTGAGACATATAGAGGAGAGAGAAGTCCCTGCCAGTAAAAGACTGATGTGTCTCTGTCAGCCACCCCTTGGTTCCCTCCACTTGAACAAGGGAAACTTCACACCAGAGGAGGCCAACTCTGTAGACTGGAATACAAACACTGTCCCTTTACACTCGTGTGTTATAACAGTCAAAAAGGCTAACTCTGTGTCGCTGTGGATCAGGATGCAGAGTTCCTTTATACTCAGGTGTGAACACAGCCAAAACAAATTGTTCAAGCTACAAACGACCAAACACTGTCCTATCCAAGATAGGCTTAGCGAGAAAGCCAGTCGTGAAAGTAATTCTACCTCTCTGTAGCATCCCATCTAAAGTCCCATGGTCTTTATGTCCCATGAACACCTAAATCAAGTCCTGATGCTTTCTAATAAGTCATTCCTGGGATCTCCGCACTTTCTGAATGCTCTTGCTGATCTGGTCTAGTTTCCGTGGAGTGTCTCTCTCCAGGAAACCATAGTAAATCCAATTTATTTGGCTCCAAGGGCATTAGCTTGGTTTCTGCTAAAGCGTTTGTCAAGCCCCAGGAAGGCTGCGACTCTCTTGACCATTTCTGATTTTCCTTGTCTCAGGCACTAAAGAGCAGTGACTTTCTTAGTCCTGGCAATAATTTCCATGTTTGCCATCTATGACCCACGGGTGCTTTTTATGGGTCTCTCTCCAATAACATCCCCGTAGACGTCTCTTTCCATGTTACTCCTATGGACAAGAGAGCACCCTTGCTTCACAGTACTGTGACTGTCATTTCCTAAACTCTCTTTGTCATGAGACAAAGCAAGAGTTGGCAGCACAGAGCTTTGAAGGCTCTGGGTCAATCTGGCAAGGTTCCAATAACTTAGCTCACTTTATTAATTTTACAACTGTCTCCCGGCTGCATAGCCTTTCAATTTACAAACAACATAGCTCTTCCACATCTTTCTCAGGGAGATTTTGAGTCCAATTAAGGAGGGGGGAACCCTACAAAATAAATAATAATAAAAGTTTGAAGGCCAGCAAACAAGGAAGCAAAAAATCATGCAGGTCTCTGAAGCCCGGACTTCAGCTCCCTCTCTGACACTGATGCTTGGAATTTAATTTGCAGATCTTCATCGCAAGCATTCAGATGGCAAACATATACCTCAAGTACTCATAATGCCCATCTCCCTCCCCCTTTCGCCCTCCCCTCTCCTCTCTGCCCCTCTCCTATACTCCTCCCCCCCCCTTACCCTGTGGCAGGTAAATGTTCTAAGACTAAGCTAAAGCTTCAGCCTTCCTTTGATTTTTTTTTTTTTTTTTTTGAGTCAAAGTTTCACACTGTAGCCTGGGCTGGGCTAGAATTCACAGCAATCCCCCTGCCTCCACCTTCTGGAGTACCAGAGCTGCAGCTAAGTATGCCAAGGCTGCGCATTTCACTGAATGAGAGGCTGGAAAAGACCAGCCTGCCTGATTGCCTCTGTTCCCTGGAAGTTTCATTTCTTCAAACTGGACAAAAACTTCAGTTCTAAAATTGCTTGAACAGCAGATTCTTTGGTTCTCTTGAGTCCCAGTTTCGCGAGTCACCACGAGCGCCAGCTGAACTTTTCTGATGTGGGAACGACCTAGAGAACACTTGGATAGGAAAGCGAAGGGTAAATGTGTGCTTGCCCTTCCCCCTTTCAGTCCTGAAGCACCTTGACGGCTCATATCCATTTGCTCAGAGTGGGGTGGAGGGCATTCCTGCCGATTCCCTGATGTCCTGGGGGTGGGGAAGAAGGCAGGGGCGGAGGCTGGCCCCCAGCATCCGCAGGAGGATGGGCAGCGCTGCAGGAAAACACCCGGGGGGAGCCTGGGTGGTGCAGCCTCCTATGCCTTGCAGAGCCCAGCAGCCAGGAGAAAGCTGGCTTTGGACTCTGTCTTTGAAGAGTTCTCTGGAAGTTGGAGGGGCGGGGCGAGCAGCGCTCTCCTGTCCTACCGGAGTCCTGCGCGGGAGTGTGAGGAAGAACTCAGCCTGTAGTCGCAGTCCAGGTGCTGTCCAGCTACTGTCCCGCTCCTGATCAGGGGTGCACACAGGGTGCTTGCCCAAAGGGTCGGCAGGGCGCACGCGCCGGCTTGGCAGAACGCACCGGCAGGATGGTGGGGCTGGTTTTGCTCAAGGCGCTGGTCACCAGGCTGCTGTTCGTGCTGCACTCTCTGGTCGCCGTGTGGCGAGTGACCTGGGTGAAGAAAGAGCACCGTTACTGGCTGCTGGCCCTGCTCAACCTCTTGCTGGTCCTGGAGACAGTGCTCACCCTCAAGTTCAAGCGCGGCAGAGGCTACAAATGGTGAGTGTCCTGGAAAGAGAGGAGGCAGAGGGTCCCGGGCATTGTTCATTATGGTCCTAGCAGGTGGCACCAAAGCCCTTGTCACTGCAGTGTGTGGTTTCCTCGCTGGCATTTGGGCCGGTTTGGTTCTCCGCTGAGCTCGCCAGCACGTGGGATGCGGTTACGTCTTTTGGGCAAGCCAGTTGTATCTTGGGTTCCAGCGTAGCGCTGGAAAGGCTGGAGTCTGGACCTATGTATATACTTGGCTGATCCAGCTGATAGCCTTCACTAGAAGAGTGGAGCTGATCACTGCGTGCACTGCTTTGTAAGTTTGAGTGCGAGACTGACTCGGGACCAGTCCAGGATGTTCGTGCAAGAGTGTGCAAGAGTTGGGATGCCTTGCCGGGCATCGTGATCCTGGCAGAGCTGAGCGCTCCGGAGCGTACACTGAAAGGTGGCTCCCCCACACCCACCTTTGGTTTTTAGCCCTCTTCCCTTCTTGCCAGCCCTCGGTGCGACTGTGGTTTTAGCCACTTCCAATTCCTTCCAACCCCAAACGTCCCTGGCTCTGCAGTGTGAAACCAGTTTCAGGTGTCTGCGTTTGGTGGCTTTGAAACTTGGCAGCCTACCTCATCAGGCATGGTTTGTGCTAGGGACACTGGAAGAGGGACCAGCAATGATTTAGTCTTAACCACACAGCATGGGAACTCAGGGTTCCTTCCGCTGGTGGCTGCGTTTCCTCCTATAGACTGAATGCAAATGAAAAAAGGTTGACACAAAGATTGCCCAACTACTTGCAGAGAGCACCCGCAGCCACCCACCGTTCCCTTCCAGGGCAATTCCATTCCAAACTTCTCCAACTTAAGCCTTTTTTCCTCGAGGAAGACGACGGTGGTCTTGGTTTATTTATTAACTGCATGCACTTTGCTCTTGTATTAGCTGTCAGGTTCAGAGACAGAAGCCCCTCCGCAACGGAGTATGGAAAGGTTGTATATTTCATAGTCACTGTGAAAGAAGATGGGCTGCCTTTGAAGATGAGGTGAACATAACTTTAGACCTCTGCTTTTGAGAAATGTCTAGAATTATCAATGCTCAAGTCCTTGGGGGGCTCAGGGTAGCCGGCAGAGCCAGGGTAAGCATGGTACTTCCCATCCCCCTTACCAGAAACAATTTATGAAGCTTGAGGCTTTTGTGGTACTTTCTAAGACATAAAGCGGAGAGACCAAGGGGGAGAGATGTTACGTTCACCTGCGCATTCTATAATAGAAACATTTGAAGTGTTTTTGTCTTTTTTACCCCTTAGTTGTAATACACTAGAGTAGACATATCTTGCATCGCAGGAGGAAGTCTGAGGCCAAAAACTGTGCAGCGTGAAGTAGTCCGGACACCAACCACAAGCACTTCTGGGACAAATGTAGATCTCAGGGAGGAGTCAACTCAGCGAAACCTGAAGTAACCCCTTTCTCCCCAAGAGTAGGCCAGAGGCCTTTAGCTTCTGTGGTAACACCAGAACTGGTGGAATACGCATCATAGCTTTCTGTGTGTTTTGCTGACTCAGGCCGTCATGGCACTTTCAACAAGGAAGGGGAAAATAATCTGGACAAATTGTACATGGGTCAGTGAGTCAGATAAATGCGTAACTGGAGTCATATTGGTGTTTAAGCTGTAGGCTGCAGAATTGGGCTTAAAAATAGGATAGATTGTGGGTGTTCCTTCTTACTTGCATAAACTTCAATGGATTTACTTTGTGTCTCCAAGCTTCAGGGTCAGATCTGCAAGCATGTATTTCACAGGTTGTTGGAGGATTATGTAAACTTATATATGTTGAGAGTTAATGAATCCCAAGAGGCTCTTTTTATACCCTGATTTTTTCATATTAAAATATTCTATGCCAAAATATCAGCTAGACACATTTTATTCTTGTGTGAGTCAAAGAACTTTAGCAGAGGGGCTATTTAATAAGCCATTGGTTCAGAGTGCAAAAACGGGGAAAATCCTTCCGTTTTGAGCTATAGACCTCTGCTGTGTGTTTTGTGTTACATCACTGGTTCAAGAGAAAGTTTGCTGGCTTGATATCCCAACCAATATCTGAAAGTACGCAGGCAGGAAAGTTGATACATTTGGCTCATTACAAAAGTTCATGAGCAAATGGGCGTATGTAAAGTGATGCGAATCATCTGCTCGCTCTAGTTCTACCCAATCCCCAGGCTACTTCTTTGATGCAACAGAAGGCACGCTGTAAGCCAGCCTGCAAAGATGGTCATTTGCACTGTAGATAAAAACCACAAACAATGGGCTGTGAAAAACATAAATGAAACTATCCTTGAAATAACATGACGGCAATGGGAAAGGCTTTGATTTGGGGCCTATTTCATTCTAGGTTGGAGTTTTCTGAGAAAAACACGGCATAAAGCATTTTCTGTTTGAGCGTGTCAAGAACCATTTTCTATCCCAAATTACTAGCTGATAGATTCAAAGAGAGAAAAAACAAACACTATAGTAATATCTATGCTAACTATATACAGTGAAATACAACACGTATTATCTATATGGGAAAATGTAATTTTATATAGTTGTATGTGTAGATTCACATGAACGGAGATAGATAAATAGGTAGGTAATTTTTTGAACCAGGGGACCTTCTTTCTATTTTGCAATCTGCCCAAAGAATTTATATGTAAAGAAACAAGCCAAAACATTAACTTCCCCCCACATATTGAGAAAATTATAGTGAGAAAATTCTGGTTTATTCATGCTGATACTATTGAAAAGGGTGACATAGAGTTTATCCACTATAGTAGAGTATTCTCCACTGTGTATCATCAGGACAGGGCAGTTATAGACTTCTTTGTTATGGCTCGTTTGTTACAAGGATGGACTTGGAGGAGAATTATACATTTTCCAATTGAAAACACTTGTTACACTCATCAAAAAAGAAGAAGAAAAAGATGTGGCTGAATGAGAACAACTGTAGAAAAGAAGAAAGATAAGGAAGAGGGGGAGAAGAGAAGAAAAGCATCATCTAACTCTGTTTCCTTGATTTTTATTATTTCGGTTTTCTGGGAAACAATCCAACTGATGTAAGGATTGTCATTTAGGTAAAGTTGAAGCACACAAGACAGCGTTTCAGTCGCTTCTTAGCCAATAGTGCTAGAAAGGAGGAGGCCATCTCAACACAAACCCTTCTCCCATATGGAAAAATCAGTTGATTCCAGTAGCGTCCAAACAATGGCTATGACAGACTGGAGGGAAGCAAGAACAGCTCCATCCTGCAGGCAGACATAAGCATACACAAGGGAGTAGAAAAATCCCTTTGTAATGACTGGTGCAGCCATGAACTTCCTTTTTACTCTTTCAGGCTAGTTTGAATATTATTCATTTTGTTAAAATGTAAACCTGGACCCTGAAAAGCTGAACGAGGGATGGCACCGATCCCGGTGCTACAAAGGACAGTGGGGACTCGATTTCTCCATGCAGCACGCACGCACACGTCTCTGTGGACATCTTCCCAGCCCTTTGGAAGGGGAAAGTGGAACTAGATACTGAGCTCAGCTGCACAGGGACAAGGAGCATTACAGCATCCCCACTAACTTGCCAGCTGGAACTGTTAATGCTGGAATTCTATAGAATACAGAGGGCAGACCCACCAGTGACACACCCGGAAGGAATGCCAGGGGCCTTGCTTTTCATTCCCCTAGTGTTCACACTACCTGAATCTTCGTCTGTCTTTCTCCATGATGGAAATCAGCATCACTTAGTTTAATTTGTTTCTTGATTTTTTTTTTTCAGTTGTCTGGGCAAAGATCCAAAGGATCTGTGAATTATCGTTTAGGTAAAATCAAACGCAAGACAATATTCCAATTGCTTCCCAGCCAATACTGATAAAATACTCCTTGGGGGATGTGACAAGTTTGAAGCCTGTGTGCTTGGAAGGAGGTAGTAACTGAGAATAACAAAGAAAAAATCTAAGGTGAAATTACTGGCAAAAGTACCAACTTTTAACCACAGATCTTTCTTCATCAGAACATTAATAATGCGGAAGATTTGTGACCCTTTGAGTTAGTGGGTAATGACCTTTGTCACCCCTCCTTTCTTTTTCTTTTATGGTTGGTTAAGCAAAAGCTGTTTTTTGTTTTTGTTTGTTTTCTAGACAGTCCTCTGTAGTCCTGGTAGCCTTCAGCCTGTGGCATTCTTTCTTCCTTCTGAGTGTTGTGGTTGTAGATATATGCTACCTAACCAAATTGACAGTTATTTGTGTGGGAAGTAATAACAATATTATGCAAGGTACTATGGCCTGACAAAAGTAACAGGAAACAAAGAAAAAATAAACCACAAATTTTTAAATAAAATATAGCATTTTGATCAAGCGCTGTAATGTGTGGAATGAAAATCATTGCGAATCTTTAGCGTTTATCGAGTTTCAAGGTCTGCCGGATTCTACACACGTGGTCCCATCTATTCCAACAACCACTACGTTTTTATCCCATTTTCATCCGGGAAACTGAGGCACAGAGTTGTTAAATCTTTTCTCTGAAGCTTACAGAGTTGGAAAGGATGAGGGAGGGAGTCCTGAAGACTGACGGATCCCATCCTTGTCCGCTGTGCTCTTCAACGTCCCAGAGGAGCCGGGGGGGGGGGGCGAGCACCAACAGGCAGGGCAGAGAACTTTGCAGCATCTGGGCTGCAGCAGGATAAAAGGGTGAGACCTGCATCTGGAGGGAGGGATTCAAAATCCAGCTGGAAGGAAGGACACTCCCAGCTGGCAGAGCAAGGGACCCTGGAACCTCACCCTTCACTCAAGCACAAGACACACAGCCAGCACTCATTCGATGTAGTGGATATGCAAATGTGGAAAATATGGAAAGAAACTGAAGTAAATTCCTTCCCCCGTCACTTCATGCATTTTATGAAGGAGATGAGAAAAATCACTAAAGTAGTGCATAATTAGTAAACTGATGGACTAACATATCAAATGAACAAATGCTTGATATGGGTACCTGGGTAATGTGGATGACAGAGTG